GTGTCAAGGAGTCTTAGTCATAAATTTCATAGATCATTTTATTTGCTCAAAATAATCTCTTGGCAAGACATCTTACTTCCCTGCCCCCAAGGCATTGTTTGCAATAAAAGTCTGAAAATAACTATACCAGGCAATTTTGTTATTCAGTCTCCTTCTTCAACATGAAATGGAATCTCTTCCAGTCTGTGTTCTTCCTAATGTGCTGCTGCATCAAACTGCGCAGAAACTTGTGCAGAATAAGGGAATGACCAAATGCCAGTATTTATTTTACAGCTCAGTTGTGAAGTTCATCCTTCGTCTAAATCTTGTTAACTCTAGACCAAGTTCCTAAGACACACTATAATACAGATAGATTGCACTAACAGTTTTTGTGCAAGTAGAAAAAAAGCAGAGAGCTACACATATTTAGATAACACAGAGAGGACATTGGAAATTACCAACCAGGCTTTCTATTTTATATTTCTCTGTCCCTTCTAGACACTCCATTTTAAGCAACTGGCCTTTAAGAAACTCCAGGCACAGCATTTCCTAGCACAAAGTTAATCTTCCCTCTCATGAGCACATTATTGTTTATTCATCAATTCTCTTAGTTATTTTAAACACATATCTTTCAAGTTGTGTAATGACAGAACAGTACTTTTTTAATATACAAGTTATTTGTTTTTTCTACCACATGACTGCCAGCAACACCCAGCTATGTATTGCACAGATCTTTCAATGCCTTTTTTCCTGATGATTGGAAGATATTATGCAATATTAAGTAATTAACAGCATTTTTAAGAGTGTTCTATTGGATCTGCAAATAATTGATTGCTTCTGCCTAATTAAAAGGAGGAAAGAAGAGGGTAGATTTGTATATGATATGGTATTTTGCTCAAGTGAGGTTTCATGTTGTAGCGAAACGTGTATGTTCTGTCTTGCACATAATCAATCCTGCCTGATTGAGTCATATGAAGTTAATGGAGACAGGAGATGCTCTGATAGGTAACAAAAAGTTAAATCTCTTTTTCACGTTATCTGTGATTATGTTGTGAGGAATATAAGCTCTGCAGCTGCCTGTTTACAACTCACAAAAACACACTGGGACACAGATTGCTAACGGATGTAAATGAACAGCTCTCTTTCAATTCAGAGGATCAAAGGTCCCAGTATATAAATGTACAAACATGTACTTATGGCAACCTCTGCTGAATAAAACATCTGAAAACGCAGGTCCACAAGTATGTCCACAAGAATTCTAATGAAAACCAAGGAAACTCTACCATGTGCTTGAATTTGAATACATGCTCTAACGGTTCACTGACTAGAAATACTTCACTGAGGCAGAGACTACATGCCTATATCTACAGTTACTTCTCATCTGCTACTTACAAAGGAAGTACATGAAAAACCCTTTTGATACTAGAATACTAGGGTTTTCCTCTTTATGCCTTCACAGACAAAAGAAACCAACTTGGTTTTAGTTTCAGGAATAGAGTTCAGGAGTATTTTTTGGTTCATGATGCAAATTCTAAATATTTCTTTAAAATAAATGCTTTCTACTTCTAGGGGGAAAAAAGGCTTAAAAATTACTGAATGGCTTCACTTTTTCTGATGAAAAAAGTGCTACTGGCCTTACACTGATACAAAACTATATGCAACTCTGCAAGAAAATTTTATCACTCGGTCAATCCCTTTAAAGTATATTCTTCTCTTTAAATTGTAGTACATTTTGCAAACCCCAAAATCTGACTGTTAGTAAACAAATGTGCTGCACACCCACTACAGTTTAGAAGAAATTAAAACACTTCTGTTTTTTTAAGGGGTAAGGGCTCAGCTCAATGAGTTAGCTATCCGTTAATCAGACACTGCAATTCCCCACACTTTTTTTGGTATGGGAGAAGGTCTAATTTTGATGCAAGATCTTCAAAAACAAAAAATACCCTATCTGCTTTGTGCATGCAGGCAGATTACAGCTGTGATTAGCACACAGATTATGCCTGGAACAAAAAAAAAAGAACAATAAGCAAGGTATTCTTGTCAAGAACATACAAACCAAAGTACTTTTTTACTCCAAATTATGTAGAATGACTCTTTCACAGACATGGCACAGATTTGCCAAAGAGCAATGTCCTGGATTCTACCCCAGGGGGAAGGGTTATGTCCTGCATTGAAATCCACACTCCTCCAGCAGGTATCTATTTCCCCTTGGTAGGCAACCATGAGCTTCCTTACCGTCAGGACATTAAACATCAACAGAGGGCAGCCCACAGAAAGTCATAAATGGCGAGATCCTTCTCATCTGACTTTAGCCACTGTCCTAGTTTCAGCCAGGACAGGGTTAATTCTTTACAGTAGCCAGAAGGGGGGGTGGTCAGGCCCTAATGTTATTCAACACCATCTCACATCAATTTCCAGGGACTGGATTGCCCTCAGAGGGAGAAATTGTGGTGGGCAAAACACTCCAGTATTGCTTTACTTTCCCTCTATCATGGGCAAGTACACCTCCCGCTAGACTGAGTTGCTCAGAGCCCCATCCAGCCTGGCCTTACAGAGATGGAATAAAGAATTTCATCCTAGTATCTACTCTCTTTCAGTGTGAAAGCATTACCCCTTTTCCTGCCCCTACATGCCCTAGTAAAAAGTTCCTCTCCAGCTCTCTTGTAGGCTCCCTTCAGGTAGTGAAAGGCCACAGTAAAGTCAATCCACAGCCTTCTACAGGCTGAACAATCCCAATTATTTAAGCCTTTCCTTGCGGGAGAGGTGTTCCAGCCCTCTAATCAGCCCTCCTCTGGACTCATTCCAGCAGGTCCGTGTCCTTCCTGTGCTGGGGCACCAGAGCTGATGCAGCCCTGCAGGTGGGCTCTCAGCAGAGCAGAGCAGAGGGGCAGAATCCCCTCCCTTCCCTGCTGCCCACGCTGCTCTGGATGCAGCCCAGGACACGTTTGGCTCTCTGGGCTGGGAGTGCCCATGGCTGGGTCATGTTCAGCCTCTCAGCCAGCAGCACCCCCAAGTCCTTCTGGGCAGGGCTGCTCCTGACCTGCTCATCCCCAGCCTGTGCTGATACTGGGGGTTGCCTGACCTGGGTGCAGCACCCTGCACTTGGCCTTGTTAAATCTCATGAGATTTCCATGGACTGGTTCCTGAGCTTGTCCCAGCCCATCTGGATGGTATTGCATTTTTCAGGTGTGTCAACTCCACCACTCAGCTTGGTGTCATCTGCAAACTTGATGATCCCTTCACCTATGTAACTGAGAAAGACACTGAATAGAACTGCTCCCAGTACAGACCCCTGAGGGACTCATGTCCATCAGGACTCGGAGCCCTTAACCACCACCCACTGGATGTGACCATCCAACCAATTCCTTATCCAGCAAACAGTTAGCAGATAAGCTGTTCTTTTTTGTACCATTACACTTACAGAAGTGAAATACTCTGTGATATGATATATGATACTGCATTCACTGTGCTCTTCAGCTTTATGCTGAGAATACTGATTGCAAGAAGGGAGAAAAATTATCTCAACTAGCATAAAATGTTAAACCTATCCAGGTTAGAGCAGTCCATGTATCTTTGCTCTTGCTGATCTTTTAGGGTTTTTTACTGGCACAGCTCTCATCATCACCATCATTTCTCTTCTCTCTGTTCTTTATCTTGAGACAGCTGAGGTTTTATACTTTATACTTCTATGAATCACTGTACAGTAAAGAGGCCTACTTCAGATGGTATACTCTATCTTCTAAGTTAAAAGGGCAGACAATAATTTTGGCTTTGCCCTAATATACACAATTCTGAAGCTATCTCATTCTTTGGGTCAAGAATTTCCCAGAGCATTTCCTGGGATAATCCGTAGTGCAGTAATTCCTCCTCATACATTAGCCAGCACAATTGTGTGATGCATTTTACACAGTTCAGAGTCCAACTCAGTCACTGCTCACTCCAATTCTCCCTCACCACACACGCAATTGCCTGACTAGGTCCTTCTCGTTCACTGACACTCCACTTTCCATGGGAGCACATGCCAAGCATACAAAGGCCAGGGAATGCAGAGGAATTAACCATTTTTGGAATTCAATTACTTCAAAGCTGTTTCACACGCTCAAGTCACTTTTAGTCATTCAGAATATGACATGATGTAAGGAGCCTACCTTTTAACCTTTCGATTTCCTGTTACCTGGAATTCATATTACATGGGGAATTCTTAGCTGAAGGAGTGCTAGTCATTTTCTTCATTAAACAAAGCTGCTATGGGAGAGTCTCAGCTGCACTACAGCGACAGTCATTTCATTTCTAAGGCCAACTTATTTGAGGGTCATACCCATAAAATTTTCCCCAGTGACAAGGAGTGGAAAGGAGACAGCAGGTCCCGGCTGCTCCAGCCTGCCGTCCTCTGTCCTCTCTGCTCCCACAGGGCCGGGCTCTAGCACGGCTGGGCAGGAAGGGCTAACGAGAATTCACGTTATTGCCCTTCTGTGAACCCAGTGTCCTGTGTATTGGAACCAGTGGGCAGGCAGAGAAGGTCTCATTAAGTGAACTGCGTTAATTAAGCGCAGGATGCTTTCACCAGACCAGGACAGCCGGAGGCAGCGGCGTCTGGGCGCCCCTCTGCTCCAGGGCCCCGCCAGGTGCCGGCGGCGGGACGCGCCCCCAGCGCCCCCCCCGCGCCGGTGCGCGCGGCCGGCCCTGGGGCCGGAGAGCAGGGCCGGGACGCCGAGCGGGCGGCGGGTCAGGCGGGAGCGGCTGCCAGGCGGGGTTCACGGTCGGCTGAGGGAACGAGAGCCCCCGGCGGCCTCGCCGCGGCTCCCGCTGCCGGCGGGGAAGGCGATGGGAGCCGGGCGGCGCGTGGGGCCGCGGCGCCCGCCCCCGCCCCCCGGCCCCTGCGGAAAGTTGTCCCTGGCCCCGGAGCCACCCGGCTCCCGCCTCCCGCTTCCTGCCCCGCCGCCGCCGATTGGCCCGCCGTGCGCCCAGGAATGCGAGCCATCCCTTTATAGCCGGGCGCGGCGGCCGGCGCCCGCAGAGTCCCGGCAGCGCCGCTACAGCTGCCCGCCGCTGCTCGCCCTCCCGCGCCGGGACAGTCGGGGCCGCCCGCGGATATTGGTGGCCGGTACCCAGAGGCCGGCGCTGACCGCCCGGATCGCTCTTCCCGCAGGTAAGTGCTGGAGCGGCTCCCGCCGCGCTCGCTGTCCCGTCCGAGGGCGGCCGGGGACACCTGCACCGTGCCCGCTGCGCAGCCTCCCTGCCTGCCGGAGCCTCGCTGGCGCCGGTCGTGGGTGCGACGGCAGCGCGGTGACCTTCCTCGTGTGTGTCCCCAGGCTGGTTCAGAGACAGACCTTTGCCATGGGGCCAGCGACTGCTCTCTGCCTCCTTCTGCTCGTGCTCGGCGGCTCAGAGACCAAGCGCACTGCAGGTAAGGCCAGCTCTGTGCCGGTACCGGGGGCAAAAATAAAAAACTTTGGTGCCTGTGTAGGCAGATGAAGTTGTGCTCGGTGGTAAAGAGCTCCAAAGCTCTCAATGAACAAAAGCATTTTTACCTGAGCATCAGCTACTTGGGAACAGGGAACTTCTCTCTGGTGTGGAATTTGTGTAGCCTTCGGAAATAGGAACGCAGAGTCTCCAGAACTCGAGCATGTAGCTTGTCTATCTCTGCGTTGGGAAAAGGAGGAGCATGATGTAGGAACAGCCTGAAGAGGAAATGGGGTAGTGGGCTGCCGTCTTGATGACTTAGAGAAGCTGCTACTGTGCTGCTGTTATTCAGCTAGATTATGCAAACTCATTTTGACATGTCCTAGTGTAGGAATATTGCAGACTGGGCTTTGCTGTCTATTTCTGTGCTGCTAGAGTGTAATGAGGTACCAGAACGGCTGCTACCTTTGTGTGTCAGTCAGCGGGTACCTGGCATTCCTGTGCCGACTGGCTCCTGTACAAGAATGCACATGTACTGCTGCACAGCAGCTCCTGGTGGGACTGCTGCACCATCAGAGCTACTGTCTGTGCTCTGATGTGAGGCACTGTGCCTTGCATGATGTGCACCAGGAGCCAAAATGTTAAGTAATCCTGGGAGATTTGCACCTACTCAGCCTCTTTTCCTTTTCTCATGATGCTTGTCCTGATGTCTCTCTGCAGAGTCCAGGAATGATGATAACAGCGTCTTCGATCTCTTTGAGCTCATTGGCTTCATGCGGAAGGGAGCCGGGCGCCGGGCCCCCGGGGTGTACCTGGTGAAGGGACCAGAATCCTCCAGCCCTGCTTACCGCATTGAAGATGCCAGTCGCATCCCTGCTGTCCCTGACTCGAAGTTCCAAGACTTATTAGATGCCATCCATGCTGAGAAGGGCTTCATTCTCCTGGCTACTCTCAGACAAGCCAAGAAGAGCAGAGGCACACTGCTCTCCGTGGAACAGAAAGACGGCTCTGGTCATGTCTTCAGTCTAGTATCAAATGGCAAGGCAGGCTCCCTGGACCTGAGCCTTTCTGTTGATGGCAAGCAGCAGTTAGTGTCAGTAGAGGATGTCTTGCTAGCTACAGGACACTGGAAGAATATCACCCTGTTTGTGCAGGAGGACCGAGCTCAGCTCTATGTGGGGTGTGAGAAAATGGAGAACGCTGAACTGGACATCCCCATCCAGAACATCTTCACTAGGGACCTGGCCAGCAGTGCCATGCTCCGTATTGCCAAAGGGGGAGTCAATGACAACTTCCAGGTAAGACTTTCCCTTATGTTTTTGCCTAGAATTTTCAGTCATTTGTTTTGAAGGTGCATTACCTACTCAACGAGCCTAAACAGCAGCAAAGACCTCTAAATCTGCTAAACTCTACTAATGGAGTTGGAAGGGTAAAGCATTAGATTTGCAGGGATGGAACTTTCTGCAGTAATAAGAAGGCACTGAAGCTTCCAGACAGGTAGTTGCAGCTTCATTGCTCAGCTTCTTATATGAGATTCAGAAATCCATGCGTTTTTTCCTTCCTGCCTGGAGAGTTGCCAAGTCCTTATGCTCAAGGATAAGACCGTTAGGAAGCAGGGCTGGTTTTCATTAAGGAGAATAGTGCAATATGTTTCACTTTTCCGTCTGTCTGTCATGAAATTGCTCTGTAAGATCTTGCATGACCTTCAATCTCTCCAAGGGTACTTCTTTCCCTTGCAGTTGCTGCAAGTAGCTGTAATTCTTCCTCTGTCCACAGGGTCTGCTGCAGAATGTGCGGTTTGTGTTTGGAACAACTCTGGAAACTATCCTGCGGAACAAAGGCTGCTCCAGCTGTAAGTTTATAATCTTCTGAGTCCAGTGACCTATTCAAAATAAGATTTCTTGTTACGTTAGAAAGACAAGTTGAAACAGAACTCAGAAGTATGCTGACATGCAAATTCACGTTGCATAAGAAATAAGATTATATTTCTGCAGGCACCCTAATGCATCTGGTGGCAGCTGTTTAGCAGGTGTTAGCCTGGAATGATAAATGCATGTGGTATAAAAGTCATTTACTTCATGTCTGGTTTTTTCTCTTAGCCACTAGTGCAATCATTACTTTGGACAACCCCATCAATGGTTCCAGCCCAGCTATCCGCACTAATTACATTGGCCATAAAACAAAGGACATCCAAGCAGTCTGTGGATTTTCCTGTGATGAGCTGACAAATATGTTTGTGGAACTGCAAGGGCTACGTTCCATGGTTACAACACTTCAAGACAGAGTTCGAAAAGTGGTAAGTGATGGTCAGCTTCATGGTACCTTTCATTAGCTAGTGCTTAGTAAATTAATTATAACCTGACTTTTGAGAGCCTGTGTAAACAGCAAAATATTTACTTTGACCTTTGTGAAAAAGTGTGTTTCTGTATTAAATCCTAAATATCTTCTTTTTGCTTCTCACCTCCAAGACTGAAGAAAATGAAATCATTGCCAAAGTAGTCCAGATCACTCCTGGAGCGTGCATTCATAATGGAGTCTTGCACAAAAATAAAGAGGAGTGGACTATTGACAGCTGCACTGAATGTACTTGCCAGGTAAGATTCCTCACGTTCACAAATCACCTGAATATAAACTCATAAGCTGGAATTAATAGATATTTCTAAACTGCATTTTTTGTTAGAAAGAGTGAATCATACACAGAACTGAGCATACTAGAGAAGCCATAGAATTAATCATTTTATTTCATTCTACTAGATCTCTGCTATAAAAGCAGCTTCCACACCTTGTCTCAACAGCAGTATTCTAGAAAATTATATGAAACTCTGAAATTATATGTATCAGTCCGATATAGCCATTAATGGTTTTAGTTCCTTAATTTGGGGAGTGCCTGAGTCCACCAGTAAACTGAGTCCACAGTAAACTAAAAGTCATTACCAGCACAACAAATGTATGGTACTATCAGCTTTTCCAGATCTACTTTCTGTCCTCACTGAACCTCCTGCTGACTTAGTAGAAAAAGACATTCTAGTACTCAGTAAAGGCACTTAAACTTGTGGTGTTTTTCTTTATGTAGAAAATGCTTCTAGGTGTGTCCTATTGGCTTTTACAGATTATATGGAACAGCAGTCCCTTTTGGATTTCAGTTTAGCTGTTTAAATTCCCAGATCACATTGGCAAGATACTTAATCTTTGTGTTTCACTTCCACTGAATGTTGTAAATATACACAAAACATATACAGTTTCAGGATTTCTTTAAATTATTTGCTTGTTTCATTTAAGTATACCTTAGCAAAAGCATTTTTGGAGTACCAGTCTACCAAAGAGTGGCTAATTACCATGCCACTCTTTAGAAACTAAAAGTCAAGTATTTGTATATGTGCAATACAAGGCAACTCAAATTCTGTGTTTGCTTCTTTAGCTCACTGTGTCTTTTGTCTTGTAGTCAGCAAATGGTACTGTGACTTTTGCATTTGCCTTGTTTCTACCAACCTGTCTACTCAATGTTAGTTGTAATTGCCTTAATCTAGTAATTTGCTTGGGGAGATTAAAATAGTATCATGAGAGCATTCTTCTGACCAAGCTGCTACCTTCAAGAAGCAAAACTACAGACTGCCCTTTAGCTCTTAGTGAGATTGGAGGTGGGTGTTCTTACCCTGCCTGTTTGGCTTACAGATCAAAAACCTCTAATTATAAGTTACAGATTGCACGACACTTGAGCAGAGTCCACTAAACTCATTTTATCTTTACCATATAATCAGCTTAAATCCATTTTAACTGAAAAGAAAGTTGGCTTCTCATTCTTTTTACATGTCTTTGAAATCTGACCTTGTACTTTGGGTATCACATAATAGTCATTCACTTGAGCCAGCATCTGCTAGCTACTACTGATAAACTTCTGCAGAACCAAAATATTTCTGCTTTTGACAAAAAATAATGGGTGAGAATGGAAACGAGATGAAGTTTGACTGAAAATACCTGGGACTACCCCTTGGGTTGTATTTTAGCTCTAAATACAAGGGTGTCTGCTTTACATATGCTACTGGGTCTTAAAGTTCTGCAGAAAAGGTCCCTATTATTTACCCAGACTCCAGACATTGTTTATATTCCGCTTGGTAACTGTAATTCTCACAACTCTTTGTAGAACTCTGCCACTATATGCCGGAAAGTGTCCTGTCCTCTCATGCCTTGTTCCAATGCCACTGTGCCTGATGGGGAGTGCTGCCCTCGGTGCTGGCGTAAGTACTTAATACTTTCACAGTCCTGTAGCAGTTGTTCACATCTAACTAGACACATGCTGCTCTGCAGTATACCAGAACTGGATATCCTAGGGTAACCTTGTGCTTCTGAAGTAGGTTAATCTGACGTGTCTTTGAGGCTAATCACTTAAGTGATACGTATTCAAATATTTTCTACAATATGAAACATACTGAAATGTTTGAGCTTAGGGAGGAACACAAAGGAAGATGCATGTGGCTTCTGAGGGCAGTTGTGTTCTTGTTTGCGGAGAGAGGGGTGAGAGAAGATATGGAAAAGCATCTACCTGGAGTCTTACTGAGAGCTGTATCCCTCTGCAGCTAGCGACTACGCAGACGATGGATGGTCTCCTTGGTCTGAATGGACCTCGTGTTCTGTGACCTGTGGGAATGGGATTCAGCAGAGAGGCCGCTCCTGTGACAGTCTCAATAACCGCTGTGAAGGCTCCTCTGTACAGACTCGGACTTGCCACCTTCAGGAGTGCGATAAGAGATGTAAGTACTTAATCTACTCATGCTGGTAGTAAAACAGGCTGCTTTTATTGGCTGAATGTTAAAAGCAAGGATTACCATGTAGCTCTGCCACTGGCACGGATCCTTGGCTTCTAGCTTTAAGGACTTGTATTAACAAGGTGGAGGGGAGCAGATAGTTAATGCAGTAAACAGGCATGTTTGGGCACTGCTCCCAGGATGAAATGTGATGCCAGTTTAGGTGTGAAATTTCCCTAGTTGCAAAACTTTATCTGTGACAGTCAGGAGGCTATCCATTACACGTGGAGTCCTGGTACTGGCTGTATCCTAGGTGCTGTACAGCTGAAGTCTTCAGAAATTATGAATAACAGAAATCTCTCTTGTAGTTAAACAGGATGGTGGCTGGAGTCACTGGTCACCATGGTCATCATGTTCTGTCACTTGTGGCACGGGCATCATTACTAGAATTCGCCTTTGCAACTCTCCAGTACCACAGCTGAATGGCAAACCTTGTGAGGGTGAAGCAAGAGAAAACAAAGCCTGCCAGAAAGATCCTTGCCCAAGTAAGTGTGTCCGGGTGGTAACTAGTAATTGATAACTTAAATAATGAACATCTTGAGTAGTTATTTAGTAAGCTTGTTCTATTATTCTTCTCTCTTTAAATTTAGAAGTGGGCTATGTAAAACCTCACAGGTTAGTTTCAGATGAAACTATTTTTATGCCTCTTCCATGGAGTCCATGATTTCTGTCATTTATGTCAGAACAATGTCTGAACTGCTCTCCCTACAAAAGTAAAGTCCTTAGTCAGTTAAAAACTAGTTGTAGCACTGAATTTAAAGCTATACATGTTTCCTATCTTCTTCTCCCTTTAGTTAATGGCAACTGGGGACCATGGTCTCCATGGGATGCTTGCACAGTGACATGCGGAGGAGGACTTCAGAAGCGAAGCCGTCTCTGCAATAATCCCGAGCCTCAGTATGGTGGGAAGACTTGTGTAGGTGAAGCTAGAGGGACTCAGGTCTGCAACAAACAGGACTGTCCAATTGGTGAGTATCCATTTGCCCATGAACATCTGAAGGTTGTTGATAATCTTGAAAATACCAATGTAAAGTCTGCAAACCTCAAGCGCTAGAATTTTAGACCAAGATATTAGCCAAATACACTATTGTAGCATCATGGTAAAGCATCTTTTATCACAACATTTCCTTGCTTGTTTCACAGATGGGTGTCTTTCTAATCCCTGCTTTGCGGGGGCTGTGTGCACCAGTGCCCCTGATGGTTCCTGGAAGTGTGGTGCCTGTCCTGCTGGCTACCATGGTGATGGTATTCACTGCCAAGATATTGATGAGGTAAGAAAACTGTACTTTGCTCCTTGAAAGGGAACGAAAGAAAATGGAAAGGGAGGACAGAATCACTGTTTTATAATGCTAACTCTTGTTCTCCTTTATCTCAAACTCATATTTCAGTGCAAAGAGGTTCCTGATGCCTGCTTTGTCTTCAATGGAGTGCACAGGTGTGAGAATACTGAACCTGGGTACAACTGTCTGCCCTGCCCACCACGTTTCACTGGAACACAGCCATTTGGCCGCAGTGTTGAGGATGCCATGAGTAACAAACAGGTATTGTCAATTTGAGAATTGTTCTGGGTTACAAAAGCTCATGAAGTTTCTGAAAAATAGAAAACACCTATATGTTCTAGGCAAAAAAGACTTGGAGCATTTAATAAAATACCATCTTCTCTGGTTCAGAACAGAAGAAGCATTGTCCAATTTTGAAGATCAAAATGAGTTTTAAATATCATTATCCTCCTCAGCCATGCAGGGGTTCAGAGGTTTCACATAATTTTAGGAGTAACTCAGGAGTAAATCAGTATTCACTAATGATACATAAGTATGTGCCTCATATCTTAGTGCTTGGTTCCATTTGATAATACATAAAGTTTGAGCAAGAAAAACAATTAGTGCAGAGTGGTACTGGAGTTGAGGACTGGAAGAAAGTCATGTATGAGGCTTTTTTTTTAACCTGATTGATTAGGAATTGTATTCGAATCTTTGGGGGGAAAGTGAGGGATAAAACAATGTTTTCAGTGCGTTTAATTTCTTTGTGGTCTTCTAGGTCTGCAAGCCACGTAATCCATGCACAGATGGAACACATGACTGCAACAAGAATGCCAAATGCAATTACCTTGGCCACTTTAGTGACCCCATGTATCGCTGTGAATGTAAACCAGGCTATGCTGGCAATGGCATAATCTGTGGAGAAGATACTGACTTGGATGGATGGCCAAATGAGAACCTGGTTTGTGTTGCCAATGCTACTTACCACTGTAAAAAAGTAAGTTTATCCTCTTTTACCATCTGCCATTCCAACAGCCTAAGCTATTAAACTATTCTCTCTGCAAATAACCTTCTAGGGATAGAGGAGGTGAAGGGATACCATTGTCAAGGCATTGCTAGGAGGTTCTTGCTGTTCCTGTATTGCTTTATATATTCTTGTGATCTGGGAAAAAATGAAGCCTGATTGTTGTAAATGTTCTAGGAAGATTCTAATTTAAGCCATACCTATATCAGCTTTGTTCTGATAGCAATCTCCAAGGGAAGAGCAGCAGGGTAAGATTCTCCAAAGCAACCCAAGCTTTATTTTAAAAATTATTTAACTGTGGCTTTCTAAGACTTATCACTGTAATGACTAGCTTAAATTAAGAGAATTACGGTAAGGTTACTCCTACCTGATTGAGGTGTTGCAATTTTGCCTAATTATTAGATTTTACCTGCTCAAATCCATATTGTAAATATACCAGGAATGAACATCTGTGTACTTCTTTCTTTGTAGGATAACTGCCCTAATCTGCCTAACTCAGGGCAGGAAGACTATGATAAGGATGGGATTGGTGATGCCTGTGACAGTGATGATGATGATGATGGCATTCCTGATGACCGGGTGAGGAAACAGAAAAAAAACAACTTTTGAGAATGTGGCTTTCCCACTCCCCTTCCCAAAGCTGTGGTCTAGCTTCTGACCTTAATCTTAAGAGAGGACCATAGGAAATTGCTGGCACTGACAGCTGTCCTAGAAACCTTAGATATGCATAACCATGCAGGCAAACTTTCTGCAGCTGTTTGAGCTTTGGAAGTGAATTTTTGTTTTTCAATCAGCCATTCATACGCTCATGCCAGCAACAGGGTGTTTTGAGATAGTAGCATCTGAGTTTTAACTGTTTCCCCACCTTTCATTTCTTCTTTCATGTAGCAGTACAAGCATAAGCAGAATCTGGTTAAAGCTTTATGTTGACTCTTTTTAAAACTTGACTTTTCTCATTTTTGCAGGACAACTGTCCATTCATCTACAACCCACAGCAGTATGACTACGACAGGGATGATGTTGGTGACCGCTGTGACAACTGTCCCTACAATCACAACCCTGATCAAACTGACACTGACAACAATGGAGAAGGAGATGCATGTGCAATAGATATTGATGGAGATGGTAGGTGGCCTCTGATCACTCCTTTAGATGGTTTTCTAATCAACCATAAATCAAATGAACACAATGTAATCCTGGTTTCCTACCAAAATTTCATCCCTGAATGCACAAAAGTTCCCTTGTGGTGGTTTCAGGACAGGAAGGCTACTGAAGGAACAGTTAGAGCTAATGGAAATTCACTTTGGAATACATACATTTTGGCACAGTTCAACTCTAACTCCATTCCCACAAGGCAGTAGGAGCAGAAGTGTGTGACAGACCTAGTGATGATTCATGTTTCAAAGCTTTTAAATGCTGCTCAGAATGGTTTAAAAAAGATATCAAGAAGTGTGTGGTGGCTTTTTACAGTCCTTTGCAGCATTTAGATGTCTGACTTTCATGAACTTTTACAGGGGTGCTTAATGAAAGGGACAACTGCCAGTATGTCTACAATGTAGACCAGAGGGATACAGACTTGGATGGTGTTGGAGATCAGTGTGATAACTGCCCACTGGAACACAACCCTGATCAGGTAAGGGATTTGAATTATATAAGTAGAGGACTGGTGTGCTAAAAAATACAGCAAGTTGTGTGTTGTAAAAAATATTGGAACAGGTTACACCTGAAATTTTACTTGTCATAAATCATTCTCACTACTTTCCCATTTGGTGCCTTTATCAAATAATATGCCCTCAGAGTTTGAAGAGCTTCTAGGTACTTTCTGAAAAGTAGCTCTAGTGAAGATCTGTGAGACTACTGCATGTGCTTGTTGCCTAAACATTTCTTAGGTTTGTCAGTTGTGGTGATCCTCACAGCAAGAATATGAAATACTTTGGGAACATTGTGTAAAATGTGGGTAGTGGAACTACTCACTTCATAGCCTGTAGTGCTGTATTCACTTAGACACAAAGCTGTTCTTTAAACTTTGTCCCTAAGCTTGAAGCCAACTGAATTTCAGAAGATAACTGTTCTAGCAGTAAGTAGAAGGCAGCACAAGTTGCTTTTCTCTAAGAAAAAGGCATATTCTGACATTTGTAAAATTGACCTTCATAAAAATCCAGGGGGATCCAGACTCTCAGACAACTTACTGATTCAAAAACTGAAGGCAGAAGTAGATTAAGCCTGTGATAGCCTGTCAGTTAAAAGACTACATTTAATAGCTTCAGGGATATAACTGGAATGCTTGAAGGGTTAGAAAAGCAGTTGCAAATCAGTGGAATGTAGATTAGTGTGGCCATGTAGTCTAAAAGCAGTGTTACTTGAAGGATTTAAACAGATAATATAAAATGTCTTAGTCATTGTCACTTGCTTTACTACTTCCCCACTTGAGGGAGGGAATCGCCTGAAGATCCTTTGAGGCAACTGCTTTCAGGAAGATCCTTTTTCTTGTGACTTTGAAATTTTAATATGAGACTCTAATGGCTTTCCAAACACTATCCTAATCAAGTTCTAGAAGTGGAGAGATTAGATTTCAAGTGCCAGAATTAGCAGCTAATCCAACAGTGTATGGTATGCCTTCTGTCTTGTGAACCTGTGTTCACAAGACTACTGGGCTAAATGTGAGGCAACCTCAGGGATGACGGGATTGTTTTTCTTAGTTCAGGAGCTGATTATGCAAATGACTGGCTAGAGTATGTGATCAGCAAGCACACTAGTTAGTTAATGCTGTCTGTCACCACCATGGGAACAATTGTCTTGACTGATGAATCAGGGGGCATGAAGAGCTTTTATGATAGAGAAAATTAAGCTGTGGTGTAGGGGATGTAACACCAAGCATTGGTAGACTGTTTTAATATTAGAGTCTCTACTGACTGAGTACAGAATAGTCCAGCCCTGAATTGGCCCTTGAAGCCACATTGCTGCCAGGGAAGGTAGGAGATAAAGCACCCTGCATCCAGTATGGTAGACCAGTGACAGAAGAGGCATGTGGCAAAGGCACAAGATAGCTGATGATAACACTGCTTTCTGATGCTGTGAATTCAAATTAAAACCAGAACAAGACTAAAGTAGCGTAAAACCAGTTAGCACAGGCAGTTTTAAGTGTGTATTAATCCACCCACTTAGCTCCAGCCATCCATCTTAGCTCTTGATAAAGCAAGCAGAAATCCCAATTAATTCTACATATTAAGACTCCTATTTCAAACACTCCTATCTCAGCCTTCTTTAAGTGGCCTTTTAAAATGTTTTTTTTTTTCCTCCTCTGATAGGAAGACACCGATTCTGATCGCATAGGTGATCAGTGTGACAACAACCAGGACATAGATGAAGATGGTCATCAAAATAACCTTGATAACTGCCCCTATGTGCCCAATGCCAATCAAGCTGACCATGACAAGGATGGAAAAGGTGATGCCTGTGACCATGATGATGACAATGATGGTATCCCTGATGACAAAGACAACTGCAGATTGGTTGCCAACCCAGATCAAGCTGATTCTGATGGTAAGAGAGCCAGTATCATAATGACATTTTAAGAGTTTCTTGCAATAGTTTGATGTTATTTTTTCCCACTATTTAATGTTGGGTAAAATTAAGTAACAAAAATCCAGAATGTCTGTACCAGAAAAAAACCCAGAATGTTGTTATAGTGCTTCTCAGGAGTAAAGATCAATGTAAAAATGACCACATATCCAACTTACTCTTAAGTCGCTATCAGACTGGAGTGGAAGGGCTTTTATACAGTAGCTGCTGTAGCTTCTGTCATGTGTCTGCCAAGTACCTGGGCAGTCCGAGATCTGCTATTCAGACTTAACTCCCAAGCTGTATGACTCAAAAGCAAACAGTGGTGGTAATAAAATAGTAAAATTACTTTTATCCTACAGGTGATGGACGTGGAGATGCCTGCAAAGATGACTTTGACCAAGACAATGTGCCAGATATTGATGATATCTGCCCTGAAAATGTGGAAATTAGTGAGACTGATTTCCGAAAATTTCAGATGATTCCCCTGGATCCTAAAGGAACATCCCAAAATGATCCAAACTGGGTTGTTCGTCACCAGGGTAAAGAACTGGTTCAGACAGTCAACTGTGACCCTGGCCTTGCAGTTGGTAAGGGGAAAAATTTAACAGGCACTGTTGTTTGGGGTGGTTTGATTTTTTTGTTTGTTTGTTAGTGGGGGTGAAGGGTGGTTTTGTTGGTTTTTTTGGTTGGGGTGGGGGAGAGGAAGAGGACCTAAGTAACTATTAAGAAGTTGTTTAAGAATTGTAAAAAAGTAGCACCTAAAACTTTATTCTTTTATGTCCCCGTAGGTTTTGATGAATTCAATGCTGTGGACTTCAGTGGTACCTTCTTTATCAATACAGAAAGGGATGATGATTATGCTGGCTTTGTATTTGGCTACCAATCTAGCAGTCGTTTCTATGTTGTCATGTGGAAGCAGATCACCCAGTCTTACTGGGACTCCACACCAACCAAAGCTCAAGGCTATTCAGGTCTCTCCATCAAAGTAGTGAATTCCACCACTGGTCCAGGAGAGCACCTTCGTAATGCTCTGTGGCACACAGGAAACACTCCTGGCCAGGTAAGAGTGGCACCTACTACATGCTGAAGTACTCTTAGCATGATAACATGAGTACTCCAGTGTAATAACATACTCTGCTGCATAAGGCAGGCTGTTCTTCCAGCAAATTAGATACTTAGAGGGGACCTGCACATGCTGATCATGTAGGTTTCTTGGCAAATACCAATAACTTCCTAATTTTTCCTAATCAAGTAATATATTATAGACAATTAACAGGATTGCTTGCTGCAGACAGACTTCCCAGCAGCAGTGAATCAACTGTATGTGGAATTGTGTTGTAGCTTCCCATTTACATATTTTAAAAGTAAATTTAAATGCAGTTGATTTCTATTATTTCTATCTTTAGGCTATTACAGAGCCTAATGACTTATTTGCGGCCTTTAATAAGGCTGCACCTTCATGTCAAAATAACTGCTGTGTTATCTCTGGCCTTTGGTTGATAAAAAAACATTCTTTCACAGGTGAGAACTTTGTGGCATGATCCTCGTCACATAGGCTGGAAAGACTTCACTGCATACAGATGGCGACTTAGCCATAGACCAAAGACTGGCTACATCAGGTGAGCATCATCCTTTTATCTGAAGTAAATATCACAGGAGAAGTGGATGTCTGTGAAAATAAACCTCACAGGATCTTGTGAAAGATGGCTGAGCTATTGTCTCTTTGTAGGGTTGTAATGTATGAAGGGAAGAAAATCATGGCGGACTCAGGACCAATCTACGATAAAACCTATGCTGGTGGTCGGCTAGGATTATTTGTCTTCTCTCAAGAAATGGTGTTCTTCTCAGACCTTAAATATGAATGCAGAGGTAAGGATGACATTGCATTTAAGAGATCCTATATAAATGAGTTGGTTCAAGGACATAAGACATAAGAGCCAAGGGGGAAAGTTGAACTGTGATCTTTCATGGTTAAGGTTTGAACAAGTTCTGCAGGCAGGAACAGGACACCATGATAAACTCTTCACAGTTAAAAATTTAAATATATAAAATCTAAGTATATTTCTGTTAAGTTATTTCAAAGTATCAGAAATCCATGTTGAGTTCCAGAAATTAAATACATCTTGACTCTTCTTTGAAGTGCTGATTAGAATGAATGAGCACATCTGACAAAATCTAAGGCAGAAATGCAATATACTGACTTTAGCAAGTAAAATGCTGATTTGCTTAAAAGTAAGCAAAGTAGATGGTTGTCCATATATTGCAGTCTTGAAGTTTAGTGGAGGTAAGGGCATACAACTAGTTTCAACTGTCCTAGTCTTCAGAAATTGTCACTTCATTATGTAATGGTTACATAGATTAGATTCTGAAGTCTAACTCAGGGAAGTACCTAATGGAGAGTACTTTCAATTTTCTCTACAAATGTCTCTAGGCATTAATGATTTGGACATAATCATGCATAATACACAGAAATATTTAAATATATATTTTCCTTTTTCACAGATTCATAATCACAAGATTGTTGGATTCAGAGACTATTTAAAAATGCTGGTAATTGCACCTTTTGAAACGTTTAGCCTTACAAATCCTGGGACCATTATATTATTCCTTCCTTTCTTCTTTCTGCATAAATGTGGACTCGAAACACATGACCTGCCTCAAGAGAATGCTTTTGAGAGAATGAAAGTGAGAACATACTTGGTATCTGACCTCTGCTGAAGTGGAAGGAAACAAATGTGTCTTGCAAATGAGAATTGTCGTCACTGAACAAGCACACTTCTTTCAGTAGGAAAGACATTTGTTTGCTGTTTATCACAGTGCAGAGTCACTGCCTCTCTAACTGGAGGTCCCATGGAGTAGCATTTTGTAAAAGAACATCTTTGGATGTGCTGTGGACTACTTAAACTGAAGACCTTTCATTGTGTGGGGACGAGGGAGTTTGGGTGGGAGGGGGAACTCTAGGTCTTTCTTTATGGGGTAGAGAATTTTTTTTAAGGAAGGCTGTGCTACTTTGGTTTACATCCATTTAACTTGGAGAAATTGTTTTCTATGTCATACCTTTCAGATAAAACATAGCCTTACTCTGTGGTGAGCTAGATCAGCTGCTGTACTACACAGGACAAAACAGAGATCCTAAAACTGATTTCTGTCATGGCAGGAGGGAAAGAGGGTAAAAACTGGTACACTGGATCACACCAGCTTTCGGAGAACTGGGATTTATGATTAGATTCTGTTTTTTCCTGATTTAGATGCTGGCCTTGCTTACCTTCAAATGTGTTCTTTCAGATATGGTGCCAGAAAGCACCACCATCTCAGCTAGCACTGTGCTGTCCTTCAGGAAACCAGCACATGCTTCACTTTTTATGGTTAAAGAGGCACAAAAATAATGAAATGAAAACATTCCTTTTCTACATGCCATAGATGTTTTAAACCCCTCGCTTCTTTAGAGGGGAGGAAAAAGGGGCCTGTAGATAAAATTGTAAAATATTTATTTTTGCCTATTCTTGATGTTATAATGACTGAGGGATTATTGATTAAAACAAGAAGAAATGCGTCAAGACTATCCACCTAATCATTGTTACAAGTCTTCATGACTGTAAGATTGTAAATACAGATTATTTATTGTCTCTGTTCTATACTGAAACTAGAGAGGGTTTAGTTGAGGAAAAAAAGTCTTGTCTGGAGCAAATAGTGGTGATGTATTTGTTACAAAGAGCAATTTTCCCATAAAGGCTTTGAGGCACAAGGAAAACTGAGGGTGTGGGCAATGGGATGTTTGTTTTTCTCAGTCTGAGCTCAATGTTGGCTTTTCCTTTCTTTGTGCAAGGCAGTTGATAGCCTGGTAGGCAACTGTTCTGCAGTGCCAAAATTCAAAATCCTTTTAGATAGTAGCAGTTTCTGTCCCATCCATAGCACTAGAGGTGAGGGAATGCCATTCACCCTTTCAGTGTTCTCTGGTGCTGGGAAATGTCTGTGATGCTTTACCTGTGGTCAGTGGGCCTGGCAGAGCCAGGAGGGCTGCCCTGAGGAGATTGCAGTGGGAGGCACAAGGACAGCCCTCAATAACCCTGTAAGGGGCTCTCTGGGCCGCTGCATGCTCAGATTGGAACTAGTGACATGCAGCTACAAGAGAAGGAATTGATCACAGACTCGACAATTTCACGAGCTCCTTGCAAAAGAGGGAGAGGCCTTGATGTACATTAAAAGACTGTTTTCCCCAGCAGAAGGGGCAGCATCCTTATACCTATAATATTTCCTTGTCTTTTCAAAACATAAAAAGAAATGAACATGGTGAAAGTTTTACGTACAAATATTACCTCATTGTTGTGTGACTGAGAAAAACCTTTGGAGCAAGCAGAGTTCAAATGTCTAACAAACTTTAAAGCTACTGTAGTACTAAAAAGTTAATGCTGTACATAGTAAAAATTTCTTTGCAGAAAATGTATTCCCAGAAAGGAAATGGCATTGGAAAAAAAAAAGTCAAATACAATTTCTAATGTTGTATTATATTTTTTCCTGTCATCTTGTATACCATTGCTTGTATTTTTATAAATTATTTTTCTCATTGCCATTGTAATAGTTAATCACATAATTGTGTGGATAGGCTATTTAAATAATTTATCATGAAATGCTACCTGTAGAGTTAGTATTTCTATTTTTATAAAAAGTTTGCACACTGAAGATTTTTTTGCTTCCCTCCTCCCAATGTTTTTGCTAGCATAATTTTCTAAGAACATGCTTTTTTTGTAAACATTTTTAACCATTTTTCCATTCTAAAGTTGTGTAAGTTGTACAATAAAGCTTCTTACATACAAAGAACAATAAACCACCAAGGACATTTATATTTATACCTTTGTGCTCTGGTTTTGTTAATGTTTTGTAATACATTTCTGGATCACTGATGTGTTATTTGTGTCAAATTTGGCTTCCGTGCAAGATTTTCTCTGCACTCTGCGTTAGAACTATGATGAGGGAGTGCTCCTGAGCTGTCACCCTGCCTGTGACCTGTGGCCCACCTGCAGGCAGTGCTGCAGTCACAGCACGGGCAGCTGGCGCCTTTGGTTCTGCAGGCTTCACTTGAGGACTTCAAGCCATGCTGCCCTTGGTGCAGCCAGAGGCAGAACAGTCTTGGAGTGACTGCCATGCCCAGCCAGGCCTGCTCCCTTTCTCTGAAAAGAGGCAGCATATCGGCTATTGCAGGGCCTGGTGCACCACTCACAACTGAAACTGCTAGTGTGATCAAAGAGCTGATGCCAGAGCACTCAGGCAACTTCTGGAACATGCTGCTAAAACTAGGAATGGTCAAGACTTGATCTCTACTTGCAGCAGCAGCTTGTTTTGTGCACCCCTTAGCAAAGGCAGGAGCTGTAACAGGAGTACCCACATGAAAAGTGTAGTGAGGGTGTCCTGCAGGTGCAGAAAACTAATTTTACATCTTTTCCCGAGGATGAAGACTCCTATGTCACTGCTCTTCTGAGGGCGGTCCTGTGTATTTGACTTTTTTTCCACTGAGAACAAGGAGAGCAAAGAACTCCTGACCTGTTATGAAGAGCCAGGAACTCTTGCCCTCCTCAGTTACAGGACTGTCTGCTTGACTTCCCTGGAATGAGATGGGGTAGTGGGAGTGCACTGTCAGTGTAACCCCTCTGATCCTACCTGGGCCTGCAGGACCGTATGTCCTGCAGGTTTGGTCTCTTAACTCTTCTGGCCTCCAAAAGACACCGAGAAGACTGACAATTATAAAAGACAAAGATGGTTCCAACCTGGAGTAATCCATTCATTTACTTACAGGAAGAAGGAGATACCTTAAAGCCAACAGTTTTCTGAGCATGTATCTATATCTGAGCATGTCTATATATGAATATATGTAGGTCTGACCAAAAGTATGAAACAGAACTGCTGCTGGTCTGGGGAAGACAGCCGTGGCAGCCCATTCCAATGATCTTGTCTGAGCCATGCCATACTTTCATGCTAATTTATTGCATGCATTTTTGCAGCTTTTCTCGTCATTAGACTAAAAAAGCAAGCCATATGCTTTGTGTTAACCCATGGCATAAGTCCACCCACTTTTTGCTTGGTGAGTGTGAACACAGTAGGACACAAGAAAGAGCTATAGCTGAGGTAAGTTAGGCCTTTACTTGTCCAAAGAAACAACTACTAAAGAAAAACTAAACAGGAAGAGCATGGCAGGTGGCCACACTCCACAGGGCAGAGAAGCCTGCGGGAAATTTGCTGTTCCCAGGCTCCCTGGAGACTCATCAGTGGAACATGTCAGAGTACCAACCAATGCATGCCACTTCTAGAATTACTTGGTATTGGCCAACTATTTTTGCATAAGTGATCTTTTAATTTCATGTTATTGCAATATTTTAATTTCATGCACAATGTTTTCCTTCCACAACACAGTGTTCTCAGAGCCCATGTAAATGCAGCACCTTAAGTTTTAAAATGATCATTTGTATCAAATCTATATTCAACAGGTGTGGTAGTTTTACCAGTAGGTATTCATAAGCTATGGAGATAATGACTGAGATAAATATCTGCATCTTAATGACAATAGTGCATTTTTTACTGATATTGGTATGATTTTTGCAGGGAAGTCCACAGTAAGTGGTAGATTTTCAACATAAATTCATTTTGGAAAGGACTGTTGAGATTGCAGAAGTAAATGTCTTAAAGTATCCACAAGGGGAGTTCTGGTTCTTATTTCTCACCTTTTCTGAAGAGAAAAAACCTGGTGCACAAAGTTGTATGAATATTTAAGCAGAGTTATGACAAGAGGGAGAGAACTCATTTAAAAGGTGCTTGGCAAGCAGAAGTCTTAAAGAAGAAATCTCCCACAGCAAATCCATAAAATTAGACAAGTATCATAGAGAAACTTGGATTTTCAAATTTAAACAAATCCCAGGAAGCCCAGACATAATTTGTCTTTTATTTTTCACCTGCTTTCAAAGTGAAGAACTGCTAGCCTAGGCAAAACATGCAAGGCTAAACTGAGTGCTGCTGAGACTCTGTGTCCATGTCCCTCGATGGCTCTGCTCAGAAAATGTGTATGGAGAGACCATTTTAGTATTATTGTAAAATTAGGGTAGAATGCCTCCAGCAATGCCCTTCCCACCAAAACTATGCATACCAAATACACAAAGCAAACAATAAAAAACAATGGCACAGATCAGTATTTCCACAAGAAAACAGCAGATTTTTAAGGGAAAAAATGTTCTGAATATAGAATACCTGCCTAAAAAGCAAAATTGTTCATGCACTTTAACACTCTGCAAGTTACTGCACACTCCAGAATATTCCAGTTTACTGGTTTTTTTTTTGGTTTTGGTTGTTTTGTTTTTTTTAAGCATAAGAGGTATTGCAGATTCAATTGCAAGCAGTGAGCTATTTCACATAGACATAAATGACAGGGAGCCCTTTATTCCAACTACTGCATCTGGATTCTAGCCAATCCCTCAATGAAACGTATAATTGGATAAATGTAGGTTATGGCATTAGTAGTATTCAAGTGCCTCTATTCTATTTGAAAAGGAAACAATTTTTCTGACCTTTAAATCTCACTACAAATAAAGGAGCAATTATTTCTCAATAAGCACATCTGTTGAAAATTAAATTAAATTAAAGAAAAAATCAATTACTATTTTTCCTAGCTTTCATAAACCCTCCTAACTTGTCAACTTCCTGAGGATCTGCCAAACCACCTTGTCTTGTGTCTATCCTTCACACTGTGAGACTCCCAGAGGTGAGGCTCTCTCTTCAAAAGTGGGGGAGGAAACATGCTTGGAAGTGTAAACTCTGGCAAATTTTTCATGTAAAAAGCAAGAGAGAGGAGATATTTTTTAAAGCTGTGCTTAGAAAGGCTTTTTAGGGAGCATAACAAAAAGGTGCACTCTTGCATTATTTCCTTGTAAATTTTAAATTTTAAACTTGTAAATTTTATCCAGCAAGTACAGGGTTTTAATAAAATATAAATGTTGTCTTGTAGTCACTGACATCACAGAAATTGAGTTGCAAACATCTGCCTCTCACTTATCCATCCCTGATATGGAGGTAAAAAGGCACCCTTGCCAGCACATGAATTTACTGGCATAGTTTTTCGCATTTCTAGACTAGTCCTTGTTACTCTGATGACATGTTTAAGCAGCCCTTTCCTCTCTGATCTGTGCAGCAGATAATTTTTGCACAGCCTGTTTTCACTCTGTGCTCAGCATGCCCACTGCCTCTGCAGGAGTTCTGCTGGGGAAGTGAGAAGGAAAGCATGCACCACAGCTCCGCTGAGCAGACACCAGCCCACGTGTCTTGGAAAAAGGCATTAAGCTGAGCATTTTTGTGGGGCGTTCTCCTCTTTTTTTTTTTTTTTCATGACAAAACTGAAAGTTTTTTCACCCCTTGGTGAACTACTTTAATTTAAACTCAAATCCTGGACATAAAAAAATAATTTCACTCATTTTATTGTTGTCCAGATTCAGGAAACTTTTTTTTTATTTTTTTTTTTATTTTTTTTATTTTTTTTAATCAGGATATTTATTTTGACACTGCTCTTCGAAATGAAAATCCCTCAACCACTCTAAGTCTGCACAATAACTGTAAAGTTGGAGTGAACTTCTGATACCATTACAGTATACTAAAATTAATGCTCTAATCCTTTAAAATATCCCACTCAAATGTATAGTATATTTTCTATATTATACAGTCAATTAATACATACAATTTATATATGCATATATATATATATTAAAATATACATACATAATATTAATTAAATTGATCGAACCACTTTAATTTTCCACTTTCAGGGGAAAAAATATGCAGTTTGTCATTTAAGAGAGCAAACCATGGCAGCATCAGAACATACCCACTGGAGAAAATCAGTATCAACAGCTGAGCCCTGGCCACCACAAACACCAGCACTGTATGTGTATCACTGAGGGTCTCAGTGACAGAGTGATTTGGTCATGTATTGTTCAGCAATTAGATGCAATCATACCAGAATCTTTTTTTCATGGCTATGTTACCTCCATCAATATTAAACTTTTGGAACAAAGCATCTATCTGTGCTGTAAAATCATTGTGTGAAAAGAGATAAGGAGAACAAACAGCATAAATTTATATGCACACATAAAACTTCTTGTTCCTCAAACACCTCAAAGCCCAAAAATCAGAAGGATAACTTTAAAAATCAGTCTCCTGTTCTCTGCTATGTTTTGGATTAAATGAGCTAGAGAGAGAGGACATTAAAGAAGTTAGTTATCAGAATCTATTGCCAAATACAAGTTATGCTGAATGAAGCTACATATTTCAAAAAACCTGTTTCCAAATCCCAAGTTAGGCTGCAAAAGAAAATTAATTTAAATATCTTAATCATCACTGCTGCATCACTCCCTGAGGAGAAGCTGCCACATTCCAGTGCAGCTGGAATTCAAGTGGCGGCCCCAATGGAGGGGTTATTGCAGGTCACAACACAGAGTCACAGGAAAAACAAAGAAAAACCCATGAATCCTCCTGGGCTCAACTTTCTTTTTACCCTGCTATTGGTGATGTTTTAGCAAATGACCTTGTCACTATATATTATATAATATCTCTGTTATTGTCCACCTCTCACAGTACCATATTTTTCCAAATAATTTTTTTCCAACAGTTTTTCTTAAAACTGAGAATACAAAAAGAAAGGAGGGCTTGAATTGATATTCACCTGTAACATCAAGCAAGAAATAAAATATTCCCAAACAACCTGTTGTTTAATATAATGCAGCAGAAACCAAGCACAGATAAATCTTAAGTCACTAATTTTTTATAGTCTCTGAGCTTTGGGTACTGATGCAACACACTTCTGGAATAGCAAGCC